TATAAATCCTGTAGGCAGATAAATACTGTAATAGTGACCTAATGCAATATTAAAGCTAAAAGTAAAGAAAATTACAAGCAACATTGAGATCCTGCAGATTTAAAACAGCTTTGGAGTAAAAAGAATAGTTAAACACATTAGGTAGAAATAGCGGGTGAAACAAATCAATCTGGGAGATTTACTTTCCCTTATATGCCAAACTGAACACAAATTGAACACATTGGAGAAATAGTGCTTGAGACATCAAATTGTTTCAAAATTATATAAGAAACCTCAAGGTGAACAGGTAAATACCTAATTGTACTCAATAGGACCTTCAGTTGATAGTGTTATAAATCACCAAAATATAAAAGAAGGTACAAATATCTTTGGAGATGTTCAGGCAGCTTTTAGTAGTTACTTCAATCTGTGAACAAACAAAGTTTTCAAAAGAGCAAGACCTACCGAATATTTCAGCATCCAGGAAAATACATAGATAATTTCATTGATGACCTCTACGGTTTAGTGTAAAAACTGATGCCATGGACCGTGAATTGAAAAGACAAAGATTGTTATTGGAATTACTGAGGAGTTCTTTGTCAGTTTTATTATGCACAATGAAGATTTAGTTTTTGGAGAAAGCTATTTAAATTGTACTGGAAGCCGGAACCAGGAATAATCACAGACAAATCCTGAGAGGTGATGGATTACCTTACCATGGGAGTGCAACAGAATTTGTTGATATCATGAGGTATAAATAGTCTGCAGTCACAAGTGACAAGCTGACAAGAAAAGTAGGCCAAAACATTGGATACTAACAGTCAGTGTCATTGGTTTGGAACAAAAAAGTGTCATGGGCACAAGCAGTGACTGGCTACTGCAAAAGAATGCTACATCTGTAAAACTATAGGTCAATTCGCTTTGATTTGATTTGATTTGGTTCATTGTAGTCTCATGTACCTAAGTACAGTGAAAAGCTTTGTTTTGCGAGTAGTACAAGCAGATCATAGCAAACAAGGACATATAGATCATAGGGTGCTTAGACAGAACGAGGCATACAAGGTTATCTTCTGCCTGAAGAAAGAGGTTGGAAGAGAGCATTACTAGGTGGGAAGGGTCTTTGACGATGTTGGCAGCCTTTCCACAGCAACGAGAAGTGTAAATGGAGTCCATGGATGGGAGGTTGGTTTCCATTATTGTATAGGCTGTGCTTTCAGAACAACTTTCTGCAGTATCTTACAGTCCCGGGCAGAGCAGTTTCCGTACCAGGCCGTTATGCACCCGGACAGTATGCTTTCTATGGTGCATCTGTAGAAGTTGGTGAGGGTCTTTATGGACATGCTGAATTTCCTAAGCCACCTGAGGAAGAAAAGGCATTGTTGTGCCTTCTTGCATCTCCGTAGGGAGGTCCAGGACAGATTGTTGGTTATTGTCACTCCTAGGAACTTGATGCTCTGAACCCGCTCCACCTCAGCTCTGTTGATGTAGATAGGAGTGTATCCTTCTCCTTTCTTCCTGAAGTCAATGATAAGTTGTTTAGTTTTGCTGACATTGAGAGAGAGAGATTGTTATTATTGCATCATGACACCAAGCACTCTATCTTCTTCCTGTATTCCGACTCATTGTTGTTTGAAATCTGGCCTACCATGGTGGTATGGTCGGCAAACCTATAGGTGGCGTTCACACGGAATTTGGCTACACAGTCACCAAAGATCCTCAGACAGCACCTTCCAAACCCGTGACCACTTCCATCTAGAAAGACAAGGGCAGCAGATATATGGGAACACCACCACTTCCAAGTTCCCCTCCAAGCCTCTCACCATCCTGACTTGGAAATATATTGCTGTTCCTTCACTGTTACTGGGTCAAAATCCTGGAATTCCCTCCCTAATAGCTTTGTGGGTCAACCCACAGCAGGAGGACTGCAGTGGTTCAAGAAGGCAGCTCACCACCACCTTCTCAAGGGCAGCTAGGGATGGGCAAGAAATACTGGCCAGCCAGCAACGCCCACATCCCACAAATGAATAAAAAAATAGTCGTGAGTGTACAGGGAGTACAGTAGGGGGCTGAGAAGGCATCCTTGTGGGGTGCCAGTGTTGAGGGTTATCATGGAGGAGGTGCTGTTGTCTATCTTCACTGATTTTGGTCTGTGGGTCAGGAAACTGAGGATCCAGTTGCAAAGGGCAGAGCCGAGACCTAGGTCTCAGAGATTTGAGGCTAGTCTGGTAGGAATTACAGTGTTGAAGGCAGATGTGTCGTTGATGAGTAGAAGCCTGATGTAGGTCTGTTTGTTGTCCACATGTTCAAGAGATGAGTGTAGGGCTAAGGTCATTCCAGAAAATGTGCAGAAGTAGAACACATTTTCAAAGCAGCAGAAAACCAAATGGTTACTTGTACAAAATGTCAAAGTGATGCAACCATTACCATTAAAAAAATACCTGTAGCATTCTGAAATTAAATTTGTCATTCAAGCAACTTGAGTTTGAGTGAGTTTGTTCAACGTCAATGGACATCTCGTTCATTTTGAGCTTAATATGGGTGAGTGTCACTGTTTTTCAGATGAAATTCCATGACTGAAGGAACAGAAATGATGGCCTGCAGAGATAAAATTACATGATCCAGATAGAATAACTCTCAAGATTATAGATATGATATATATGGTACTGCAATACAGAGTGTAGGAGAGTTGACAATGTATATATCCTTGTCACACTTGAACCGGCATACATCTTGACCCCAACTTCCCTGAAATATGCCTGAATATTAGTTTTTCCAGCTTCTCTTTTGGAAAATGTTTCAGAAAGAATACACTAGGGACACCAGGTATACAACCAGGGCTCAGTTAGTGATTTGGTATCGAGAGATGTCAAAATAAAATGCACATTTTAAAGCCCATTGTGAAATCTGCAATTATACAGGCTTGTCAGGTCTGACAAATACTCCAAATATTACTGAAATAAATCAAAACACAAAAATCAGTGTTTTTTGCAGTAGAAGCAAATACTGAGAACAAGAATGAACAGTACAACCTGCTTGACCCCATGGAGGAATGTTTAACTGAAAGTATGCAGCCAGCAAAACTATCTGATGAATAGTTTGATATTGCAGATTTGTTTCTGATGTGGATGATGTGCTGACATGAATTCAAGAGCAACATTTCAATCCTTTGTCTTATTTGTACAATGCTCTAGTACAATGACTTAGGATCTGAACTTGCCTAGTTCACCAGCTAGACATTCAGAGAGGGTGAAGAAAGAAATCAAATGCAGTTAAATAGTTGAAATAAAGAGCTTACACACTTCAACACAGACATGTCAGCAGATTGAAAAATAAGATTTGCTTGAACAAAATGAAGATAAGCTGCAAATTATTCCATGGAAGCTAGACTAATGTCCTTGGATTCAGAATAAGAACAAAAGAACAAAAGAAGAACAAAAGAGAAGTACAGCACAGGAACAGGCCCTTCGGCCCTTCAAGACTGTGCCAATTAGCATGCCCTGACTAAACTAAAAAGACAAACCTTTTGCCCTTATTCGATCCATATCCCTCTATTCCCTTCCTATTCACATAATCATCCAGATGCCTCTTAAATGTCGCCAGATGCCTCTTAAATGTCGCCAACGTGCCTGCTTCCACCACCTCCTCTGGCAGTGCATTCCAGGCTCCTACCACTCTTTGCATGAAAAACTTTCTTTGCACATCTCCCTTAAACTTCTGTCCTCTCACCTTGAACCTGTGCCCCCTTGTAATTGAAATTTCAACCCTGGGAAAAAGCCTCTGACTATCCACCCTAGCTGTGCCTCGCATAATTTTGTAGACCTCTATCAGGTCTCCTCTCAGCCATCGTCTTTCCAGTGAAAACAATCCTAGTCTTTTAAAACTTTCCTCATAGCCAATGCCCTTAAGACCGGGCAACATGCTGGTGAACCTTCTCTGCACTGTCTCCAAAGCTTCCATGTCCTTCTGGTAGCATGTCAACAAAAACTGCACACAATACTCCAAATGCAGCCTAACAAGGGTTTTATACAGCTGCAACATGGTTTGCCAACTCTTGTACTCCATGCCCTGGGCGACGAAGGCAAGCATGCCATATGCTTTCTTAATCACTTTGGCCACCTGTGTTGCCACTTTTGGGGAACTGTGGACCTGCATGCCCAGATTTGTCTGTATGTTAAGAAGAAACGGCTTGATCTAAAAATTTAGCAAACTGCAAGGAAGAAAGTACTTTATCTAACAGAGCAGCTGGGTTCTCTGGTGGACATTCATGAGATTAAAGGTCGCCCAGGTGGTGTTGTGGGGTAATTACCTTTGTTAATAGAGAAATGCTCCTTTGTGAAGGAAATCAACTGAATGGCCTTTTCTTGTTTCTTTCCTTTTTAATGACCTTGAGTTTCTGCTTAATGGTGCCTCCCCAAGGATATTGATGATTTTGAACTCATCTATAGTAGTACCACTGACTATCAAGGGCGTATGCTTAGATTTTCTCCCACTGGTGATAGTTATTGCTTGTCTCTTGTATTGTGGTATGGATGTTACTTCTGGGTCTGTCTATACAATGCTGTTGAAATGAAATTATAACATACTGTAATACGCAGTTGAATTTTTAGCTTGTTTAATGTACAATGCTTCTTATCATAATTACTTGTTAAACAGGACAAAGTAACATTATGAATGTTGCGTTATCTCACCTGGTTTTGGAAAATAGTTTGGTTACCTAATATGCTCTAGATGGCAGTGCTGTGTCATTTTAAAAAAAGTCCTGAGATTTTAGAAAATTATTTTCCCCCATGTAAGAAATAACAATGAAGCCAATAAGGTTTTGTGGGTTTTAGCTGGGTTTAAAGCACTTAAGTAGAGGTCACACCTTGGGCTTATGTACAATGTCCAAGAACTGATTGATGCTCATCATCAAATTGCATCTTGTACTGTGTTCAATCAGACTCTAAGACTGGCACGAGGTATAATTTGCCATTATGACATTATTTTGTTTTGATAATAATGAACATTTTTGGTTTCTCAAGGTCGACGTTACCTGGTTTTATAAGAATTGTCTTACAGACACGTGTAACTGTAACCGTGGTGGAGACTGTGAATGTTTTTGTACCAGCGTTGCAGCATATGCACATACATGCTGTCAAAAAGGAATCTCAATCAGTTGGAGATCACCCAGTGTTTGTCGTGAGTATTATCCGAATATACGTTTCAGCTGTGGTAGGTAAGAAATGTTACATTGAAAAAAATGTGATTCAAAATGTTGTACTACAACAAAAGAAAAAAATCAATCATGAAAAAATTCATAATTTCATAATTAGAAGACAGTACTGAATGAAATTTGTTAAATGGGGATGCTTGGTAGATATCATCTTAACCAGTCATCATCCATTTTTTGGCTTTATTACCAGCATTAGAATAATATTAATCACAGTCATCTCAATAAATAGGGTAACAATGACAGGAATAACAATAATAAGGTAATACTATTATATGAGTTAATTTTAGTGAGATAATACATTTTATCTTTTCTTTTATTGCTGGGGTTAGGTGAGTGAAGATTTCTCTTGAAAGGAAGGAATGAGAAGTGCAGAAATTCAGCAAGAATGGCCCATAGAAAAGCAATCATAGTTTTGGTTGCAGCAAAATAATGTATGACACTTAAGTTATTTCTTTGGACAGCCATTTCTACTTCCAATAAACTTCCACTGAATTGAATTCATAAACTCATAAATTCAATTGTGTGCTTTTCAAAGTCATATATCAAAAAATTCAATTTTCAAATTAAAATTCTAAAAGATAGATTAAGGATATAGGATCCCTACAGTGCGGAACAGACCATTCAGCCCACTGAGTCCACAAGGACCCTCCAAAAAGCACTCCAACCAGACACACATCTCTACCTTATCCCCACAACCCAGCACCTCCCATGGCCAATATACCCAGCCCACTCATCCCTGGACACTATGGGCAATTTCTCAGGGCTAATCCCCCTAACCTGCACATCTTTGGCTGTGGGAGGAAACCGGAGCACCCAGAGGAAACTCACATTTGATTCAAAGTTTAATCAGAGTAGGCCAGAAATCTGAGTCTCTGACTAATGATCAAAAGAAAATCACTGTAAGTAGATTAGAATAATATTAATCATTAATAGAATTCATAGATCAGGACATATTATCTTTAACTTATGCATACAAACAAAAAGGACAGATTGATTTAAAGAGATGTAAACACTTAACTGCAACACGCATGTTTTGAATTTTTTTTACTTACTGGACATTCTTGATATTTTTCAGCTATTGACTGTGAATATTACAATCAAGGTATGTACTGCACTTATGTTTCTATTTAAACAAAATAGGGAACGTTTTTCTTTAAATTTCAGTGAAATGTACAAATTATTATGATTTTTTTTTTGCCATGTGTCTGTCCATGTATTTTAAAAATCATGCGTATAGCACCCACTTCCAGTAGGTGTCACACTTTGTTCCTCTGACATTTTTATTCAACATAATTCAGTTCTCCTTTTGTGTTTGTGTGACACCTTAGGATATTTTACCAGATCAAACATATAATATAAATACAATATGTTTCTGTGTTCCATGCTTTCTTCACTTCATCATTGATGCTGTCCTGCAGACACTGCACTTTGGAATTTCCTTTGTGAATCCTGAATTACCACTTTCCTGTTTACAATGGCTGACTTAACACTCTTTACTACCTTTCCTGAACTCCTCTAACACTCTCGATTCTTGCTTTTGTTTGTCTTCAATATGTGGTGCTTTTTTCCTGCTCAATGTAAAACATTAAGAAATCTTAACTTAAACGAGGAACACTATAGAAACATGGTAACTTCTCTGTTGCTGACTGGCTGAAATGTATTAACTCAGCACAGACTGAAGATCAGACTTTGCACTTTCCAGGCTTATATGGCTGTTACTTAATTGAGTAAGCTTGCTGTGCAAACTTGGGAGCCCACATTTAAAATTTAAATTAATAAGAGGACAGGCTCTGATTTTCTTCTTGGCCCTACAGCTGTGCATTGCTATATGTCCAAGTGTTACCAACAAAGGTTTATCTCATTGAGTCCACATTTCCTGTAAAACTATATTTAAATGTTAATTCTCATAGCATGGTAATAATATTAACGTAGCAATTAATAGTTTTGCTACAGTGCAGAAGCAGGCCATTCAGCTCATCAATTTAACACTGACCCTCCGAAGAGCAGCCCACCCCACCCCTCTAACCCTGCATTCCCTATGGCCAATTGATCGAGCCTGCACATCCCTGGACACTGCAGGCAATTTAGCATGGCAAAACCACCCAGCCTGCGCATCTTTGGATTGTGGGAGGAAACCAGAGCACCTGGAGGAAACCCACATAGAAACTAGGAGAATGTGCAAACTCCACACAGACAGTTGCCTGAGTTTAGAAACAAACCTGGGTCCCTGAGTCTGTGAGGTAACAGTGCTAACCATTGAGCCACTGAACCACCGTGCCACCCTTTGTCTTTCTTTAATCCCCAAAGTGACTAAACTCTGTATGTAATTCACTGCTGTACTATCTCTATATTGTGTCAATGTGAGATGACAAATCTTCCTTCCCCTTCCCAATATTTAGCTCCCCTTCTAATGACTCCAATCCACATTCCTGGGTCAGTGGTCATTGTAACACTGCCAGAAAGCACCCATCCTGAAAACATGGAAAATACTGCTGGTACTTTTTACTCTACAGATGAAAAATTGAGTGAAAAGGAGTTTGGAGAGGTTACTAATTGAACTCTGTTTCAATGTAAAGAGTCGGGTCTCATGTTGCTGTGGACTATCATCAGCTTCTGTTGCCAAGCAGCAACAACCAACACACAGAGGGCTGGCACATGCTGTTACCAGGGAGGATGGTGGTCAGTAGCACTTTGGGCAGAGAAGATAAGCTATGGTCAACCAGGAAGGTGGTGTTGGCTCCATCACACATTTTAGCCCATTTTTTCAAGCACCCTTCACCTTTGCTTGGGGTGGGAACTCAGAAGAAATTTCATCTTGCTATGTAATGCAAATCTTATTTTCTCAGGTGCTGTTGTCTCCACCAATATAGTGATGGAAAGTCACAAATCATTCTTTCATATTTCAGATCTCGGAGAAGGACCGTTTATGTTCATTAACTATTTATGCAATGACACTGTTATTGCAAACAACAAGATCACTGGGGATGTTGTACCTTTGCAAATAAATAATGCTGGACAGAATACTTTAATGAATTTCATGATTACACCTGGATTATACAAAGCAAAACAGTCAAGTGAGTATCAAGGAATTTAGTTGAAAAAAATGCAGTGGATGCTCATAGTGTTCTGAATCTTGCTGTAAATCCTGTGCATATTTATATCTAGCACATATATCCATAGCAATAGTCAACTTGGTGGAGTGGAACTTGCTGTTTTGTGGCTTTATGAAGAAACATTTAGAAATCACAGTATAATTCTCCACTGAAATGTCATGTCCAGTGGAGGCCAATATACATAATTCACACATGTTCTTCCTCCATTAAGAGACTAAATCTTGTTGACCTCCATACATGTTTGTTCTGCCAATAATATCTTTAAGAGTTGTGGGAAAGTGACTTGCAAAGGTTCTCTCAGCTGCAAGTAGATTCCATCACACAGTTTAACCCACTTTTGGAGACACTATGTTGGTCCTGGGCCCAGCATGGCTGCTCAACCCCCATGAGGACAGGCAACTAATTAGTTTAATTAAGAGTCTTGCTAGGGACAGTTAAAGGAGGTTGACTAGGATTTTCCAGTTGGTGTCCAGTTTCCTGACCTGCTGTTGGATGTGGGTGAAATAATTCCACAGAGACTGGTATCCCATAACGAAGTCGCCCTTTATTTACACATTCAGAGTCCTTGACACTGCTCCAGCTCCCTCAGAGCCAGCTCTCAGAGTGAAGAGAACCTCTGACACTCCTGTCCAGGGCTCCCTGTTTGGACCAGATCAGGGAACTCATGTTCTGAGGTCCACCTGGCTGACCTTGTTACAATCACTACAGAGGGCAATTGAACTTCCTGGAGGTATGCAACCAGTGGTAGGTTAGGGAGGACAGTGCTGTAGGCAGGATATGCTCCATTTCTCCCAGGCTGCCTGGATGCAGGTCTAGCCAAAGGCATCTTTGTAAAGGGATATTTACAGCACTATCCCTGAATCCAAACCCATCACAGTGGAGGCTTGAGTTTGTTTTTTATTTCAATCCATTATATATTGGGTTTTTTAAATTGCTGGTGAGTAAGCATCTTCATTTTGAAGCATCTTCTCAGTTACTTGCCCTTTACTGCAGCTGTTGCTCATCTCAATCTGGAAGCGTCGGATATGTTGACCATCTTTAACATCCATCTGTTTGTCATCCTTGATTGGACAGGCAACCTGCCTCCATGCCAATTAAGGGACACACAGTCAATATCCTAAAAAGTAACATCCCTCCTTCTCAAGTATATATTTGAGACCTGATAATAGTCCTGGCTCCTCTATTCCAGCCCCAACTTCATGTGCCACGTTGAGCTGGTGCTATCAGTCTCGCCATATGGAAGCTTGTTCTTAAGGAATCTAAACTGATAGTTCAGTGCAGTATTTAGGAAGTACTACGTTATCAGAAATACCTTATTTCTAATGAGATAGTAAAGCAAGACTGTATTTCAATGTTGAGGTCATAAATTGTTCAATGGCTTTTGAAGAATGGCAAACAGTTTTCGTGGTCAATACTTATCTGTCAATTCACTTTGCCAAAAATAGACTAACCAGTCAATAATCATTTCCTGTTTGTAAGATCTGGTTTTGAGCATGTTATCTTACAAAATCAATTATAAAATTTAATAGTAATTGATTGTTAGCTATTTTGTGGTATTTACAGAGTTTGAAGACTGTGGTATATTTATTCTTATAATTTTAATTATTCTTATTATTATAATTAATTATTATTCTTATAATTAATTCTTACTTACCTGCGGTATCCTTGCTAATTTTGAGTTTTTGACAAGTGATTATCAACCATAAATAAACCTTGTCCAAATATATCCCTCATGACTAAATAGAGATTGCAGCTTTCTATTTCTCAATTATTGCTGCTTGACAATCTAATTTATGAGTTATGGCAGGGAATGGAGTGGTCAAGGGTGGACAAAAGAGAGGAAATTCTTGGAAGAACTTTCATCTGGAACATGATTTCTTAATTAAAACTGGATATGGAAACTGATAACTTCCACTTTGCCCTCTCAACATACGTTTCATAGGACCCTGAGGAGACCAAAAGGGCTCCTTCAAGCATCCATACTTTTTAGGTATATCTTGTCCATGCATTGAGGGCATTGCTGGCTTGGCCAGCACTTATTGACCATCTCTAATTGCCCTTGAGAAGGTAGTGGTGAGACTTCTTATTGAAATGCTATGATCCATGTGATGTAGGTACACCTACAGTTTTGTAAGTTCCTTAAATCCAATAAAGTTCTTTGCTGAGGATGTCACTAGATTTATCTGTCTTCTCCCTAAAGTAATACTATGGGCAGCCTCTCTGCCTTATGTCCATTATTACAGCATTGTCAGAATAAGCTACCTCCTTCATATGTACAAGCTCTTGATACTTCCAGTGCCATCAACGAAAGCTTATACAGAATCTTTAACTTAATGAAACACCTCAAGGGACTTCACAGGACCACTATAAAACAAAACCTGATGTTGAGCTACGTAAGGAGATATTGATCAATTGGTCACACCCCGCTAGGTTTTAAGGAGCATCTTGAACGTGGTGAGGAGAAAGTTATTGAAGGCATGGCTACCAATGAATTGAAACTGGGAACGATTTAAATTAAGGCCAAAATTAAAAGAGTTCAAGGATCACCGACAGTTTAAATGCTGGAGGAAATTACAGAAAAACTGAGGTATGAGGCCATAGAGGGATTTGAACCCAAGGATAAGAATTTCAAACTCAAGATGTTGCTTGACCATGAATCACTGTATGTCTGTTGGCCGAGAGATGAAAGACATAAGCAAGAAACAAACAGACAGTATTCATTTCAGCCAAGTGAGTTTCTTCTTATATGTCTAAATTGAGCCCTTGATTCAATAAATACTCTACAAATTTTTCAACGTCGAACCTATTTCTTAAAAGACACTTGCTTACTCCTAAACACATTTCTGATTTGTGTATAATTTTTTGTATCGGCTAATATATTTGAAAGCAGCATGTGAGACAGAATAAGGTTGCTTGCTCAATCTGCCAGATTATATAATATCTACGCTATAGAATGAGACTATTCAGTCAAACTTGTCTAAGTTTGTGTTCACACTCCACACGAAGTTATTCCCATTCAAATTATTTCTTTCCACCTTGACCCTGTGCCTGGCAACTCCTTTCACGTTAAAATACAGGCATCATCTGTATGCTTAAAAATTGTGAAATATGAATATGGAAGATTCAAAGAAGCCAAGCATATCCTCACTCAATATCAATAGCTTGCAGAAAGTGAAATGTTAGCCAGACAGTACAGAGTAGCTAAGGGATCAAGGATGTAAGCATTTTTTTTTACTTTTAAGCATTGGTTAAGGCTCTTCCCATGGATTGCTTAGTTTTATCCTTCTATGGGATGTAGGCATTTCTGGCAAGGGGGGCATTTGTTGCCTACCCATAGTTGCCCGTGAACTAATTGGCTTTCTAGGCCATTTCAGAGGATAGTTAAGATACAACCACATTGCTGCAGGTCTGGAGTCACATGTAGGCCAGATAGCATTTTTTTCCTTATAAGGGATTAATAAACCAGGTTTTGTTTTCATGGCAATCAATAATGGTTACATCATTAGGTTAGGCTTAATTCCAGACGTCATTGAATTCAAACTTAATCATCTACCATGATGAGATTTGAACCCATGATCCCATAGCATTAGCCTGTGGCTGAGGATTCCAAATCCACTGTCCTTGCCACTTCACCACTGCTGTATAATATTTAAAACCAAATGTCTCACAAAGTTCAGAAAAAGCTGACAGTGAATTTCTTCTCTCAAAACACAGTGATACTTGGTGTTCTTTACCACAGAGGGCTGTTAAGGCCGTGCCATTAAGTATATTTAATGCTGAAGTAGATTTTTTAATCAGCAAGGGTTATGAGGAAAAAGACAGGAAAGTGAAGTTGTGGATTGTCAAATCAACCCTGATCTCATTGAATGGTGGAGCAGACTTGATTGGCTGAATGGCTAACTCTGTTCTTATTTTTTATGGTCTTAAGTAAGAAATAAAATTATAAATATAATTAGGTTTTCTGAGCTTTTGAAGCTGATTGCTGGTGTTTTTGGATTGGATTCACTCGCAAGCTCAATTTGGCTCTTTCGCATTTGGCATTAATTGAAAGAAAGATTTAAGCAATTGGTACAAATCAACTTGCAGCATTTGGGAAAGTTACATGAAAAGGTTGAAAGGAATTTTTGGTTCCATTAGGCAGGTATTTTATTTCTGAAAAAGCTGCCTCTTTCGTTCTGATGAGTACTATATGAGTTTTGTTGACCAAACTCCTTTCTGAAGAAGGGTCCAGACCTGAAACGTCAGCTTTCCTGCTCCTCTGATGCTGCTTGGCCTGCTGTGTTCATCCAGCTCTACACCTTGTTATCTCTTCCTGGATGTAGCTGCTTGTTATTTACCAAGGACTGTAAAGCATAAAACAAAAGCTAAACCTGTAATCTGATGATGAAATCACAGAATCTATTTTCAGTGATGCTAGGTTGAACAAGCAATACTAAATTTCATGTTCATATTACTTTCTTAATAACTAACAGAAATAAAACATTTTTGTGTAACATAGGCTGAAGAAGGAAAACCAAGGAGTTGTTGATGCCTTAAATGGTATCATCTGCTGTGAGGTCATGCTTTCAACCTTCAGCCTGTAATACAAAGTGAACTTTAGAAAATAGGGAGATTGGAACAGGAGTAAACCATAGGACCCCCTAGTGCCTGCCCTGCCATTTGACAAACACAGAAACATAGAAAACATAAAAAGAAAAAGATAGGAGTAGGAGTAGGCCACTCAGCCCCTCAAGCATGCTCCTCCATTCATGATGATCAATAGCTGATCATATAATTCAGTAACCTGTTCCTGCTTTCCTCCGATATTCTTTGGTACATCCAGCCCCAAATGCTATTTCCAACTCTTTAAAATCACAATGTTCTGGCCTCAACTGCTTTCTGTGGGACCGAATTCCATAGGCTTACCACTCTCTGGGTAAAGAAATTTCTCCTCATCTCAGTTCTGAATGGCTTACCCCATA